CCCCCCCCCTCCAGAAGTAGAATTTAAAGATCTAACATAGAGTTCACTATATTGCCCCAAACCATTACCTCACACACACTAATGTACGAGTCAAACACAAGGACAGTTTCATAATTTATGCTGTTCAAAGTTCAAATTGATCAAGATCCCTCAAGTTTTTCCTAAGAAATAGCACTAACAAACCTTCAAAGTCACCTGTCGGCTATTATGTTCAGGGACTAAGGAGAACCTTCATATCAAATTTGAGAAACATCCCTCAAGCACTTTCTAAGAAATAGCGATAACAAATCGTCACTGTCAAAATCCAGCCTTTTTGTTTATCCAATCAGTGTTAATATTAACATGCACAGCTAAGGACCACGGGGAACCTACATATCAAATTTGAGAAAGATCCCTTTAGTACTTTCTGAGAAATAGCGATAACAAGAATTGTTTAAGGACGGACGACTGGCGGATGGACAACGGACAACGGATGAAGGGCGATTTGAATATATAGCCCATCATCAGATGATAGTGGATTAAAAATGTCAAAAATGATTAAATGAATTTTCTGGGGCGGTCAAGGAAACTGGTCACATAATGATATCGTTCAATCATCAACGACAACGAGAGGATTAAATAACTTGTCATTGTAGAGTAAATTTAAAGTGATTGCAAACTAACTTTCCAGATAAAATGGAAGACTAAACATTATTGATAAACAATACAAGTCACATTGCTGTTGAATTTTGTTCTTCATGCATTATATTTACTCGTCACCTGAAGGGCTCAGAAACTGGCCACCCTAAATGGTTGTTTTATCCCACCAGAAAACAATAGAAGTTCACATGGAAAAGATAAAATTTTAATTTTCATATGCAAAATTTGTAATCGGTACATATGATTAATGAATTTACATGACTGTCATATGGTCTATAAAGTTTATTTAGGATATGTGCTATAAATAAGCGAGCACAGAAACTTGGCCTATATATAATGGCCTTATTTTGGGCAGTTTAATGGCAACATATACAGATGACAGGATTGAATAAGTTGCCATTGTAGAGTAAAGGAAGTGATTCAAACTGCAGGGATCGATCAGAAGAAAGTAGCGTGATAGTCCGAGACTATAATCCAAGTCTCCTCCGGCCCGGACACTATGAAATCTCCAGATGGACTAGTACTAGTGGTTCTAAAAACTTATTAGCTGTTATGTGTAGAGCATTAATAACATGAAGTGTTTATTATCACATTCATGTAAATATCTTGTCATAATGCACAGGTACTGGTGGTTGTCATAATGCACAGGTACTGGTGGTTGTGATTATTAAGAAAAACAACAAAGCTATGTTCATACAACATGTAGGTTAAGTGTAAATTACGAAAACATATTTCTTTTGAAAAGTAGGTGTCGATTCAAAAGGAATGACTTAAACACAACAATGATGAAATTGAAAAATGGTTCCATTACACATTACATTGGAAAAATGGTGAATGTTGACGTTATATCAGTGGTTATTTACACAGCACTCGCAACTTCTCTACACAAGAACAAGATTGTTGGTATAATAATTATAACATACATATTTGATTCATATTCAGACTTCGATTTAATTTGGACCGAATCCTTAATTATTAAAGTAATCACTCACAACGTTAACATAGGTAGATAGTTATAGAAAATTATCACTGCTGTAAATAGGTGGTTATACATGTAGGTAATGACCATGTGCTGTTGATACATAGATGTAGGTAATGACCACGTGCTGTTGATACATAGATGTAGGTAATGACCATGTGCTGTTGATACATAGTTGTAGGTAATGACCACGTGCCGTTGATACAAAGTTGTAGGTAATGACCATGTGCTGTTGATACAAAGTTGTAGGTAATGACCACGTGCCGTTGATACATAGTTGTAGGTAATGACTACGTGCCGTTGATACATAGTTGTAGGTAATGACCATGTGCTGTTGATACATAGATGTAGGTAATGACCATGTGCTGTTGATACATAGATGTAGGTAATGACCA